TGAAAGTTACCACGTTTAAGGAAGGGGCTGGGAAACAATAAAGCTGGGGAAAATCTAGCAGGTGCTGGGAGAATAATGCAATTTCCTAGGGCAGCAGATGCACAAGTGAAACAGTATCCAGTAACAGTCCATCAGATGGTAATTATAGCTGGACTGGGAAGAACAGCCAGATGAAAAGGGGCAATTCAAAGGGTAACTGAATGCCAGTGAGTGACATCTTCCTGAGAGATCACATACCAGGAAAAAGCAGGGCCATCACTTAGCTCTGAGGGGGAGGGCTTCCATAAACCGTCATTTTTCTTTGTAGAAGGACAAAGGGAAAATGTGGAGAAATGAATGCACAGAATCCAAATGGAGGCCTCCAAAGAATTCATTAGTCGAGATTTAATCAGACCATCATTAATAAGCAACCAGAAAAAAAAAAAACAAAAAAAAAACCCAAGATCACTCTGAAAGTATGATTCCTCAGGAAGGATGAAGGGTTGATTTAGTTCTGAAAATATGTGAGAGAGAGGTGAGTTCACGCTATAATTCTATGAACACTATAAACCAAGATGAAGAGCTGAAGTGACTGAAGTGGATGATGGGTAACATCTATTGATATTGAGGCAATGGCAGGGGCTATTTAAGTTCAAAGCAGGTTTTCTGGAGTGTAACATGACAAATAACACTTATTTAAACTCCCACTCCTGGAAAGGAAGCAGTGCCTTTTTTTCAAACACATTCCCTCTCCAGGAATTCTGCAGAAACAGGTCTGAGCCCAGTGTGGCTATTTCTCCTGAGTTTGGGCTCTTGTCACCTGGAAGGCCAGTACAAGCCCTCTTCCACCCCCAGTTAATACCAAAACTAGACTGGAAGCTCCTTGCAGGTATGCATGGTGACACAGTCATATCTGAATCCCTGTAAAAGGCAGAAAGGAAAGAAAACAGGCTTGTATGTAGACCCACCCTGAAAATAAGTGTAGGGCAGCTTGTTCGGCCGTCTTTAATCAATATAACTACTAAATTAATTCAGCCCAATTTTGAGTGTTTTCCTGATCGTAATACTCATTCAGGATAAATACTTGAGGGAATGGATGGATACCCCATTTTACATGATGTGATTATTACTCATTGCATGCCTGTATCAAAATCTCGTGTACGCTATAAACATCGATACCTGTGTACTAACAAAAATTAAAATTAAATAAATAAAATAATTTTGTAAAAAATAATAATACTTACGCAGGTAGGCCCTGATGAGTCATCTAATAAAAAACTTCCATGAGAATAACTCTCATAATGTAAAAGCACGGGCCAAGATGGCTCATTCAAGCTAAGAAAAGAATCTTCCAGGTCTATGATGTCAGTTATGGTCTTGGTCAGGAAAAGCCCTCTCTTACCCATGCATTCACACTGGTTGACTGTGGAGATATTATTACGAATCTTTGAGACCTCGTTCTGAAATGTGTGATGAAAATCATTTATGTTTTCTAGGCTCTTTTTTATTACCTGCTGTGGAGTGGGCTGTCAATTAATAGAATCGACGGGGAAGGTGTTGTGGCAGGGACACTGATCGTCCAAACCAGGCAGGAATTAGGAGGGCCTTGAGGTGGGAGCGAGGGCATATTTCCCTGCCATGCAGTGATGAATTTCAATCACTGCTGCCTTGTGCCAGATTCAAATTGGCAACCTACCGAGATGAAATGCTTTCTATCCCATTACTCATGCCTGGAGTGATCTGTTCCCTTGAAGATTGGCTTCCGAGGTGAAAACTAGGGACTGCATGGTCACTCTAAGATGCTTTAAATAGGATAAAAGGTATGAAAGACGAGTGGCCGGCAAGAGAAGTGATATGGACATGGTGAGGGAGCTGAGGGTCTCATATAAAGCTCGATGCACTGGGAGGGGAAGGGAGGGTGGGAGATGTGAAACCTAAAGGGAAAATTCATTCATTTGGTAATGAGAGTTGCTCAACCTTGCACAGTTTGCTACTGCAAAGCTATCGCTCTACTAAGAAAACAATGTCTTGAGGGATATACAGAGATTCTTCCTAAAAATACTCTACTTGGCTCAACTTGTCTCAGATAATCACTCTAAAACATTAAAACTGTCTAAAATGTTAAAAAGAGAAAAATAATTTTTAATAATATAATTTAGCATTTTAACTTTTTTTTTTTTTTTGAGATGGAGTCTCGCTCTGTCGCCCAGGCTGAAGCGCAGTGGCCAGATCTCAGCTCACTGCAAGCTCCGTCTCCCGGGTTTACGCCATTCTCCTGCCTCAGCCTCCTGAGTAGCTGGGACTACAGGCGCCCGCCACCATGCCCGGCTAATTTTGTTTTGGTATTTTTAGTAGAGACGTGTTTTCACCGTGTTAGTCGGGATGGTCTCCATCTCCTGACCTCGTGATCCACCTGTCTCGGCCTCCCAAAGTGCTGGGATTACAGGCTTGAGCCACCGTGCCCGGCCGCATTTTAACTTTTTAATACCAAGGCCCATTCCATGTGGATTATGATCTCGATAAATAATCCTGTGATTAAACTTTTAATATGTCTAAAATTTTTTACTGAATCTTGTTTACTAAATCTAAATCTCCATTACAATTTTCTGAAGCTTGAATACAACGAGTAGCAACAAAAGTGCTTCTTAAACAGTCAGAATTCACCTGAGAAATAAGCACAATAGCACGAGCAGCAGGTAACAAGCATCTGTGTTAGAATTCTCCCACCTATCTGCTAAGTGGCTGCCTTCCTGGACCCTGGGTTTGAACAATCCATCTCTGCTTTGTACTGAAATACACCAGGGCTCAGGGGTGAGGGGCACAGCTTACTGAGATGACCATGGAAAAGGTTACTCAATGTAAGCAATGATTTCGGATCATACCAACCTGGGAAGTAGTAATGAGATAATTTTAAATGAAACAAAATGTTATCTCTGACTTTCTCTCCACCTAGAGCTCCAGCTCACCTCAAAATCACTTAACTGAAAATTCTCACAGTAGGGTGGGAGGGAAGGGGCAGGTGTGAAACTGCACTTCATATTCATAAAAACGATGCTTCCTGATATCCATACAGCAGCTCTGGACTCCTCCCTCCAGCTCCAGCCAGGCCACCCATGCTGCCAGAGGACTGGCTGAAGGCACAGGAGCCGTGGGCTGCCACTGAAGTATAAGTCTCAGCAATGACTGTAGAAGGTCAGCGTCTCTCATCCTGACCCTGATCTGATGCGGAAGCTGCAAAGTTGTATGCCGAGCACATCCATGTACTTCTATGCCCAGCGCTTTCTCCAGAGATCAGTTTGCCTCTGTGGAAACTGTATTTCAGTGCTGGAGACAGCATGTAGCCACTGTCTCTGACCCCAAGACACTGTCTTTGCACCAAACTTCTGGGTGTTGGCTCTCTTTCCAAAGCAGTCTGTTCCCAGGATCTTCACATGCAGACAGACCGCATGGTGGCCCATCCTAAAGGTCTTCCAGGTGGGCTAGGCACATCTCATCTCCAGTCCTGTGAACCCTGCTACTTAAGAATATGCCTGTGACCTTCAGATAAAATGATATGAATCTGGAGTTTGCTTCAAAATGATATAGGAGAAAGGGGAAATGGTGGGGGCACAGATGATCCAAAATTAGCTAAACAGTTGCAAATCATTGCAGCTGGGTGCTGAGTGCATGGGAGTTCCAGTGCCACTCAATCTGTGGTCTGGAACAGGTGCCCATGTGCAAACTATTATTCGTCTATGAAGATATGAGTAAGAGAGACCGAGAGAAGCATTCAGAAACTTTTATAGCAAACCAACAGAGTAATGCTATGTCTGTTAAATCTAACAATAAAAGAATTTTGTCTGTCTTTGCTTTTTAATCTTGTTTTCCCAGGAATTCACTTTTTACAAAACTATCAGTCTATGACTAATTGCACATTAATTTAAAAAAAAAGACATGTAGATTGAGAAGTCCTGCTTTATATGATCAGTCTGTACTCACATATAAATTTACAATGATATAAATTTTGTTATTTTACAAATATAAAGATGAATGTAAGACACAAAGCTGCCTCTGAGTTGGTCTGATGGAGGTGCCCTCCCCATCCCTCAGTGCACCCGCCAGTAAGACAGGTGCCGGGCGGGGCGATGTCCTTCCCGCAGTGCCGAGCCTGTTGCAAAGTGTTTATTTCAGCATCATCTCCAGCTCTGAGGGGCAGCTCCTTGGGTAAGTGTTTGCAGAGTTTAAACTCACACTTTCCCTTTTTCTCTCTCACAAAGGACAAATGTTAGCTCACGAAGGGATTTTTTTTTTTTTAACTTAAGTAGAAGAGTATACAAACACTACAAGTCCGTATCAGTCAACATGAGAAAATTATGTTTTCCAATTAAGTTATTGAAAAACACTATGTGTATGTATACAGGTACATTTGCATTTAAAAGAATATCTAGGTTTGATTTCAGTCCTTTTTCCTGTTCTCACAATAAAAGTGGCCCCTGGCCATTCATTTTAAGGTCAAAAACTCCTGCTGCCCCAGGGCAGCTAATATGCTTCCGTTAATCATCTTGATGCCCCTGGGGGAGGGAGTTAAAGAAACCAGCTTAGACCCGGGGCCCAAACATCTCAAATGTAGCCAGCTCTGTTTTCTCTGTCAGCTTCGTCGTAACAGCGAATGACCACTTAATGCCTTGAAAGCAAAACATCATTGAAAGGGGGAATCTGCTTTTGAGGACAGGGAAAGCAAATGAAAATATGCCAGAGGATGACTCTAGGTCTTTTGTCCTGGGACACAGCAGCCTGAGAGGCATCCCCATGGGATGACCCTGCAGGGTCCTGTGGCTACGGCTTTAGGCTTGCCGGGAAATAACGACTTGAGGGAAAGGGCTGCAGGGGAGCCTTCGCAGGGCTCCGCCTGTAAGGGTATGAGCACCAGGTTCCCTGTAATTAAGAAGCAGCCTGCTCCTGTGAAGACAGCACTGCCACCCCATCTGCCAGGCCCGCGGGAGCTGGCACCGCGCCGCCCTGCCTGCCGCCCTGCTACCCACCGGATCCTTGGAGACCGCCTTTGATGGAGCGTTTATGCCAAGCTTTTCCAGAGGATAGACAATCTGTCGTCGTGGTCGCACAGGAACCAAGTAATGAAGGGCAGATGTCAGGGAGTGGGCGTAGGGGTTCTGGAACTGAAAGACAGCAATCTATATTTTAGGGGAGAGAATGTCAAAGAGGCTCAGCACAGATGTCTGCGTACAGCTTTACAAATACAAAACTCTTAACTCGGCCAAGTCAGAGAAGAAAAAAAAAAATCAGCAAATAAACAAACATACTCTTCGAGCAGTGGAATGAATTGTAGATAATGCCTGACACTAATGAAGATAATTACGAGAGTAATTACATTACTATCTCTGTGGGAATGACAGATAAACAAGTGGTTTGGTTTATGGGATTTTTCAGTACAAGTATTTTCCCCGGGAGGATATTCCTCTCCATAGTGATCATGCATCAGCTTGATCTGACCCCATTAAGCTGTGTTATCTGCATCCTGTTAACCTTTGTATGTTTGGCACAAGCTGCTTTAAGAAGACACATAGATAAAAATGTCATCCAAGGGGTAACTTAGCAGGGATGTGAAAATCCTCCTGTTTGTAAAAGTCACTCACAGTGACTTCAACCGGACCTCTGTTAAACAATAACAACAACAAAAACTGTTTTGGAACAAAAAGATAAAACTGAGAAGTGGGGGTGGGTGTGGGAGAAGTAGATCATAGTATTTACATCTAGACTAATACTAAATTATGAGTTGGATTTATACTTACTGAAATGAACTATGATAAACCACGTCTTAGGGGAATGCTTTAAGTATTGATTTTATCCAGTTTTAAAAACTTAGCAGAGAAAACCAAACATGGTGATCTTTATTTCTGTCACATTTATGAAATCTTAGGGTTTTGGTGAAATGAACTAAGGACATTGTAACCATTTAAATCTGAAGCGTCAGACTGTAAAATCAAAACTTTTAATGATACACTTATTGAATTTAAGCTGGAAAGCAAAGAAAGAAAAACAACTGTAGATGCATTTTAATAAATAGATGGTTTACATATGACTTTTTGCGGTTCTAAAAATAGCCCCTGGCATTTCTAAGAGCTTCTAAAATGGTTTTCTAAAATCCTTCACCACTGAACTTCACACCCTGACTTCGCAAACTGAAAAACAGAACCCTAGCCAGCACCCTGTTTTTATGCCTGAAAGAGCTCTTAATACATGCCTTGACCAGAGAGACAGAGAGAAAACCATCCCCATAATGTGAGCCAAAAAGCTCAACTTTACTGTAGTCAACTGGGGATTTATAGCAGAATTTGGGAATTCTTACTCAAATTATTTGGAACTGCTTCATACACTTGTTTTAAATGAATATGTGAAATCAACTGGAAGTGCAGACTGAGAAGAAATCTGTTTCCAAGCATGTTTTTAGAGGCTATATACAACAGTGTGGAACATATTCCTAATTTCATACTACTGAAGTAAATGTATAAACATTTAATGAAATGCCCAAGGTATTATTTTTATTATGGATGCAAATGGACCTTCTCTAACCCAGCACATCCAGGCAACTTCATGAATAAAAACAAGAAAGTAATATCACATCCTGAAGGTCACAAAATTGGCATATGGCCAAGTGCAAAGTAAAAGAAAACTGTGCAGGACCAGGATTTTCCAGCAGAACTGTTACCTTCCCATCTCAGTGAGCTCAAAGCTGGGCCATTTCATTGCCACGGTGCTGCATTTTGATAGCAAAAAAAAAAAAAGAAGCTAGGGCAGAGTCTACATCTCACTCAAAACCTTTTCTGTTTTTCTTCTTTCTTCCCCATTCCCTCTGGACTTCTCCAAAAGGTTTTCCGAACTTCTCCAAAAGGTTTTTGTTAAATAAAATACACTGGCGAGATTATTGCTATGTGTATGTACTAACACACTGTAGATTGTTTAATAAATAGACATGTTAATAATAAGGCATTTTAAGATCTCTTAGCTCCCTTTTGCTGATAAGAAGAAATGAGACAATGTCAAAGACTCTAGGCAGAACATGGGAAAGTTTGAGTTCATGAGTGGAATCTTATGGGGCAACTTCTACCTGCTCTAATGGTTGAATCCCTTCACCCCAAGTCTACATCAAGTTGAGGACCAATGTTGTCAGTGACTGAGAGACCAATTTGCAGGAAAAAGTCCTTGGGAATCTAGCTTGAAAACGCCCTTGCCTATGGAACAATCAGACACCTTATATGAGTGTGTGAGAGTGTGTGTGTGTGTGGGGGGGTGAGTATATGTGTGAATGCATGAGTGTGTGTGAGAGTGTGGTATATGTGCATGAATGTATGAGAGTGCGTGGGGTGTTTGTGTGTGTGTGTTTGTGACTCTTCTAGGCAATGGGGATATAGCTTTGACCAAGACAGATAAAAGCACGGCTGTGTTCATGGTAAAATAGATAACTTCAGTTGGTGGTGAGTGCTGTGAGGAACACTAAAGTGGGATGGGACGTATGCAAGTAAGATGGAGGGTGTGTGATCTGTGCATGCACATACACACCATGTATACACATCAGATTCGTATCTATTACCACAGTATTATTCCATGCAAGTGTGGCAAGTGTTACATGGGGTTACATCGGCATCAGGTATCTCCACACTTTCTCTCCATCACCTACTGGGGGTGTGTACAGTGCTTGTTTGGAATGTTGGGATAGCACACCAGTCTTCTAAAATAGAATTATTCTATGGATTAATCACTGAAATGTTCTTTGCTTGAAGGAATGAACAGGATCATGTTGGCGTTGCACTTGTGCATCATAAAAAATTATTAGATTTTCACGTCTCTTAGAGCATTTTTGCATGGTTTTCAGTCTCTGTTTTGTCAATATAGAAAAGCCAACATATTTTACTACCAATGATATTAGTTGTGATTGTGTCAGAAATTCGAAGCCTACAGAATGTCACTGTAGTCTATGAAAAAGGCAAAACTAAATATGGCCATTGGAAATTCAGACCCATGTTATCATCAAAACCCATCATGAGAGGAATGAATAAAATGAATAAAAAACACCAACAACACTGTGAACACTGACCTGCTAGGAAAGGGAATTGCACCATTCTCTCACCTTGCCTTCTCTGGATTTTGGGTAAACAGGGTAGTAGAGACAGGATTTAAAGCCTAAACGCAGGATCTCCTTCAGAAAGAACTTGGTGTAGTGCCGGAAAATGGGGTTGAGGGCAAAGTGATGCATGTGCCCATGTTCTTCACGCTGGTGGTGACTGAAGTAGATGAAATCTTCAATGTTGTAATGTGACCGTATGTACTCAATGTCCTACAGAAGAGACAGAAGGAATGGTTTCTACAAGCATTTTAAACAAATGGCATGCATTTTGTGATAAGTATCTTTTAAAAATTACTTTAGGTATGACAGTAAGAAATGTGTTTTTCTCTTCCATATTTGCCACCTCATCTTCACAGTAAATTTTTTAAATTAGAAATTACATTTCCTGAGAGCTAGTTGTTCTGATGGATTGTCTTTGGGGGATGGCAGCACAGCTTGTAATGTGCTCCTTCCACACCCATGGCTGCTATCAACTCAGAGAGCCCTGAGTCTCTGCCGTTGGCCAAGCGGCAGGACAGCAGCTCCATACCACTGAGGCGAAGTGAGCACAAGCCGGTCAGTGCAAGAGACCGAGCCCATGGGAAATTAGGGAGTCAGGCAGACAGAGCCACTGGTGTTCTCTGATGTGTTACCATTCACCTGTTAGTGTGGAAATGTGTCATCCCCAAGTCACACACTTTGTTTTGTTTTGCTTTTCTTCATTTGAGACAGAGTCTCACTCTGTCACTCACACTGGAGTGCCCCGGCGTGATCTTCGCTCACTGCAACTTTTGCCTCCTGGGTTCAAGAGATCCTCCCATCTCAGCCTCCCAACCAGCTGGGATTTCAGGCACCCACCATCATGCCTGGCTAATTTTTTTTTTAGTTTTAGTAGAGATGGGGTTTCACCATGTTTGGCCAGGCAGGTCTTAAACTCCGGACCTCAAGTGATCTGCCCGCCTTGGCCTCCCAAAGTGCTGAAATTACAGGTGCGAGTCACCATGCCTGGCCCCAAGTCATACACTTTGATTACATGTATGGCTAGCTGGCCTACAATAAAACTGCATAATTGGGCCTTATCCCTGTGCACTTCTTAAACCTTCTATCCCCCTTGATGTGTAATATTTTTACAGTGGAAGGTAATTTAAAGAATTGATGAGTGTCTTCCCATGTAAAGGAAATATCAGGTACACTGCTCTTGTTTCCACAGGTCTGGTTCTGGTTCCCCCTCTGTGCCCACACTGCACTGGGATCCCAGGTCTCCTTCATGCTAACTGTGCCCTGGGCCAGCCTGTCCTGTGTCACCTCCCAGCAGTGCACACTGTCAGGGGCATGGCAGGAGGGGAACACTCCAAGGTGGGTGTGACTCTCTGATGACAGCAGCAGTAAATGCACCCAAAACGCAGGAAAAATCAAATCATATGCAGGTTGCAAAACATCAACTTATATTTCTCCTTGTTTTCCACAGTAAAATTATTTTAAAAGCCTACTTTCAAGAACAGAAATTGGAGAATGCAAGGCCCCTGATGTGTTCTGTGATCAGCAAGGCTGGCACCAGCAAATCCATGAAAACTGTGGCATCTGTGGCCAAGCTTCTCGAGGTCCCCTGCCTTTCCAGCTTTTGTCACAAAGCACAGAGGAAACAGAGCTCAGGGTAACCGGGCCAGTGGCGGTACCCTAGGGCAGTTCTGGCAACCTTTCAATCTGCATTGACCCTGTAATGGCCTTTATACTATAAGACTTTTCTTTAATTACCAAGGAGGCATCCCTCATTATAAAATAAAATGAGTGATAAGTATAGGACTGAGAAATCATTGAAAAACAAAAAGCCAACAGAGGTTATTAGCTCAAAACAGCAGATGGGCCATGTGCATCTAATTTTCTTCCCATCCCAAATCCCTTAAAATAACAAAACCAAAAATTATCTTTGGTGTAATGAGAGCATAATGGAGGACAAAAACGTTAAGCAGTTTTACATTGGAAGGAAACCCTACTACTAGGTGAAACCTTCTTACCTTGGGTCACCTGGAGTCCCTGCCTGTCAGCTGGTACTCCATTCAAGCACACAAGGGGAAGCCAGACACTGCCATACCCTCCCAATCAAACAGAGGGACGGTGGCACTACCAGTGACAGGGGAGACGCCATGGAGAAACATACAAGCACAACTGTCAAGGATACCCATGCCAGCCACTCAAACTGATCATTTATTCTTTCACTCATGACAAGGACAGACTTTTGAGGAAAACTGACAAATAAAAAAAGACCAGCATAGAGAAACATACAACTTACTACAGAGAAGACAAATTATTCAGGAAGTAGCAGAGAATTAAAAAAAAGTTCTACAGAGTGTACTCAGAGAGATCAAAAAGGATCTTGCATGTAATAAACAAGCTGATACCAAAAAGGAACAATGAGAGAACAAGAGACTTGGAAGTTAAATAGATGAACTCTGAAATAAAGATTCCAATAGAGTACTTGGGTAATAGAATAAACACAGCTGAAGAATTAGAGATTTGGAGGACAAAATTGAGGAAATCTAAAATGATGAGTAAAATGTAACATATATATGTTTAGAGACATCGAAGAATCAATTAAAAAGATCTAATATCCATCTAAAAAAGAATTTAAGAAAAGGAGAATGGAGAAAATGGAGGAGAAGAAATAATTAATGAAATCATAGAAGACAAATTGCCAACAGAGACATAAGATACTTCTTGGCAAAATTTCAGAATTCCAGAGACAAAAAGAAAATTTAATTCTCGAGAAAGCAAGCAAACACACACACATTTATTCATAAAAGATCAAGAATCAGGTTGGTATCAGATTATATTTTATCAATGACATTAGATACTGGAAGACAACAATCTGATGAGAAATAATTAGAATGAGGCTGGCGCAGATGGCTGATGCCTGTAATCCCAGCATTTTGGGAGCTTGAGGGGGGGCAGATCACCTGAGGTCAAGAGTTCAAGACCAGACTGGCTAACATGGTGAAACCCCATCTCTACAAAAAATACAAAAATTAGCCGTGTGTGGTGGTGCACACCTGTAATTCCAGCTACTCAAGAGGCTGAGGCAAGAGAATCGCTTGAACCCGGGAGGCAGAGGCTGCAGTGAGCCAAGATCGCATCACTGCACTCCAGCCTGGGGGACAGAGCAAGACTCTATTTCCATAATAATAATAATAATTTGAATGAGAATTCTACACACAGCCAAATGAGTATACAAGTAGGAGGACCAATGACAATTTCTCATATTTGTGTGGATGCAGGGACCTTACTACCCAACACCGTCTCTAAAAGAATAACTAACTCCAAGAAATATGGGATCAAAAAGAGGACTAAATCTAAGAAAGAGAAAAGTGTGCAATATATTAAAGAAATAAAGCCATGTGAACATCTCGATGTCAAAAACACATTTGATAAAATTTAACACTCATCCATAATAAAAACTTTTAATAAGATAGAGAAGAAAATTTCCCTTACTTGTTAAGGGATATCTATCAGAAACCTACAGCCACGATTATGCTAAATGGAGGAAAGTATAGAATCATTCCATTAAAATCAAAAACACCAGAGAGGCAGCTATTACTAACACTATTACTCAATGTTGTTCTATCCATACACTAAAACTGGAAAAAGACTAAAGGTATAAATATTGAAAAGGAAGGTGTAGCAGGTTCTCTTATCCAAAGAATCCTAAGATGACCGCCAGGACAGTACCTATCATCCCACATCCCTCATGTTCTTCTGCAAAGTGACTCTGCCACACCTCCATTGAGAGAAGTCCACCTCCACCCCTTGTGTCTGAGCGTGCCCTCTAACTGCTCTGACCAGTAGAATAGGGTAGAGGTGATGCTGCGGCAGAAAAGAGAATCAGCTGAAAAACTTTCCAAGCTCAAAGATATTTCATAAAGGTGACTGAATACAAGATAAAAATACAAACACTAGTAGTTTTCCCATACACAAGACAAACATTAGAAAATATGAGAAAAAGTGTATACTCAGAATACCAAGAGAAATCATAAAACACGTAGAAATAAATGATCAATGTCTAGAACCGTGTCAGGTCAGGGTCTCAGCAGGAAACAGTATGATCAAATTAGGATAATTGGAGGCGGGTTTAACAAAGGAAATATTTACAAGGATGGGGCAGGTGTAAGAAGACAAGTAGGGACTGTGCCGCAGCAACTGCAAGCTATTCCCACCCTAAGAGGGTGGCACAGGAGGAGGGCTGGTTATAGGAATCCAAAAGGAGAGCATCATGAAGAGGCTACCTTGAAATGTCAGGGAACTCAGTGGAGATCAGCCTGCTGAGGCATCAGATGTCACTGTCCCCTCCTCCTTCTGTCAGGGCTCTCCATCCACCAAACCCAGTGGGCAGCCAAAAGGCAAAGGCACCCATAATGCTGTGCCCATCGGTCAGGCTCCCTGGGACAGAACAGGGTGGAGAAAGGTGGAGAGTGGACTCACAGGACAAACAAAAACCCGTATTGCACAAAACATGATGCAAAGAAAACCACACGAAAGAAGCCACAAAATGTTTCTGAAGAACCCAAAAAGTTAAACAACAACAACAACAACATAGAAAGCCATGATCCATGATCCTAGTAGGGAAGTCTCTATATTTTAATGTCAACTCCGCCTAAATTGTTCTATAGAATTCACATAGGTATAACTATATTAATAATAAGCATTACAAGGTTTGGGAGAGGAAATAGCCAAGAAAAAAAAAATAAGAAAATTTAGAAGACACCAAATGAGAGAACACTCCTCTACTAGATATAAAAGCACATGATAATGCAATAGGTATCAACAGATAAATCTATGGAAAAGGAGAGTTTAAAAATCGACATAGGCATATAGAAATTTAATAAACATAAAAGCAGCATTTTAAAACCAAAATAAAGAATGGACTATTCAGTAATAAATGCTTTGAAATAGCTGGCTGTGCACTGGGAAAAAATGACATTTCCATTTGACATACACACACATATATGATATATGTAACAAGTGCAAAGAAGAATGCTGGAAAGGATAAATGCATCACTACAGTAGTAATACTTTGGGGAGAGTAATGGAATATATCAATATATGTATAGGTGGTGGAAAGTTATCTGAGTTTTTAGGGTGAGAATGTTTTCATGTAGTCTTTGTAATATATTAAATATTGTGAACTGCAAAAAAATGGAGAATTGCAAGTTCTCCAAGTGGGATAGAGGCAGATGATGATGATATCCATCAGAAAAAGGAGGCATTCACATTAAATAAGTAAAAGTACAACTCCAAAAGGGGCATTTGGGCTAATTCATGATATAGCAAGGCACAATCAAAGAAATTAATATCCACTTCACAATTTACCATTTCATTTCTGATCACTGCAATACCAACTATTTGTTCCGCAACTTCAGCTACAAATGCCTGCAGCAGTGTTCCATCCTGAAAAGATAAGCAAATATTTTAAGACCCTTAAAAATATGGCTATGAATATTTCTGTAAGCAGGCAACAGTGGGTCTTAACCACATTCACATAACAACAACAACAACAACAGAACAAGCATCTATCAACACCTACTTTGGGTCAGGTAGTAAGTTAAACGCCCTCCCTATGTCCACTGGATCCTCACACCAACCCTATGAGATATTATTATTATTGTAATTATTATTATCAGTTTTGAGATGGAGTTTTGCTCTTGTTGCCCAGCTTGAGTGCAATGGCATGATCTCGGCTCACTGCAGCCTCCGCCTCCGGGGTTCAAGCAATTCTTGTGCCTCAGCCTCCCAAGCAACTGGGACTACAGGCGCTCAGCTAACTTTTGTATTTTCAGTAGAGACGAGGTTACACCACGTTGCCCAGGGTGGTCCTGAACTCCTAGCCTCAAAGAATCCACACACCTCGGGCTCCCAAAGTGCTAGGATTACAGGCGTGAGTCACCACACCTGGCCTCAGGGTTGAGACTTAATAATAAAGTTAATAATTTTACTGCTTCATCAAGGATATTTCTTAGTGAAACCAGCTTTTCCTTTCCTTTTTCTTTAATGGACATACTTGTAGATTTACATGCAGTGTAAGAAATAAAACAGAAATTTCTTGTACACTTTGTTTAGTATCCCCTAATGATAACATTTTGCATAACCATAGTATAATACTACAAGCAGGAAACCAACACTGTTACAATTGTGTGTGTGTGTGTGTGTGTGTGGTGTATGAAGTTTCACATGATTTCATCACCTCTATAGGTTTATGTATCCACCACTGTAGTCAGAATATTGAACAGTTCTAATACCACAAAATCCCTTGAGTTGCCCCCTCTGTCCCCATCCTCCCCACATCCTTAACCTCTGGCATCAAATAACCTGTTCTCCATTTGTAAAATACTATCACTTCAAAGTGTCATATAAATGGAACTCTAGAGGATATAACCTGTAGGGGTTGGCTTTTTCCCCACTCAGTATAATTCTCTGGAGATTTATCCAAGCCGATACATGTATCAAGAGTTCACTTCTTTCATTGCTTAGTAGTATTCCATGGCATGATGTTCCACAGTGTGTTTAACCATTCATCTGTTGAAGGATATCTGGGCTGACAATAGCTGCTATGAACATTAGTGTAAAGTCTTCATTTCTCTGGATCAAATGCCCACAAATGCAATTGTTAGACCATAAGATAGTTGCAGTTTTAGTTTTTAAATAAACAGCCAAGGTTGGGCACGGTGGCTCACACCTGTAATCCCAGCACTTTGGGAGGCTGAGGCAGGCAGATCACTTGACACCAGGAGTTCAAGACCAGCCTGGACAATGTGGTGAAACCCCGTCTCTACTAAAAATACAAAAACTACAGGCAGGCACCTGTAATCCCAGCTACTCATGAGGCTGAGGCAGGAGAATCACTTGAACCCGGGAAGCGGAGGTTGCAGTGAGCCAAGATCGCGCCACAGAACTCCAGCCTGGGTGACAAGAGCGAGACTCTGTCTCAAAATAAACAAATAAATAAAAATAAAAATAAAAAATTAAACAGCCAAAATATTTTCCAGAGTGGCCGCACCATTCTACATTCCCACCAGCAACACTAGAGATCCAGTTTCCCCACATCCTCGCCAGCATTTAGCAACTAGTGGCATCACTGTTTTTTGTTTCAGTCATTCTGATGGCTTTGCAAGGATATTCCACTGTGGTTTGCTCTTTCGGTAGTTACTGGGATGACAGTGAAGAACACCAGGACCACTAGGACATTTGCTGCCACTTCTGTGACCTACTCTGAGGTGGCACTGGCTTCACCCACCATTGCTATTGCTTTTGCATCATAAGTACAGATCTCAACACAGTGGAAAATGAATAAAACAGTTTTTACCTTGCAGACTCCCAGAAAATCCATGTTTCAGAGGCCCCCAAGGTTCTTTAGACCACACTTTGAGAACCAGGGCTTGACCTCATACCACTTAGAGGACCAGGAGGGAAGGAGCAAAAAATGAAGAAACAAAGAGTCCAAGACAAACCAAAGCAAATACCATGTGCTGAAGGGAAGCCGTATTTTAGTTTACTCTGATGCCTTCGTAAATAGTAAACATTTGTATATACACCATTATGTTTAGGTGTTTGGTGTCTTCCTTCTGATGACTTAAAAATTAACTAAAAGGTTTTTTTCCAAAAGAATGAATAACTGGAACTCCCCAAATGACCTCAACAGTAGAATGAAGATGTAAATGGTGGTATATTCATGCCATGAAATACTTCATGCTATAATATGAATGACTCTTACAAACATATTGCTGAGCAAAAGAAACTTGATATCAGAAAACAAGTGGTATGATTCCATTTATGTAGAGTTCAAAAATAGGCATAGCCAATTTCTGATCTTAGAAGCAAGGTGGTATTAACTTAGGGAAAGGCCTGAGTAGAGACATCGGGGAACTTCTGGCAGGCTGTGGTTAGTCTGTTTCTTAAAATGTGCTGGTTACATGGTGTATGCAAATTGTGAAATCCACTACACTGTTTATTGGTTATACCTCAATAAATTTTGTTCAAAATAAAATGTATCAAAAAAGTGACTATGCACAATATTCTTTAACTATCTGCATCTTTCCATGTGTAGTTAGATTAACTGGCACGGCCCTTAAGATAGCAGTATTAATTTATAGACTGCCACAAGCCTGACTTTTGCCATAGCACATACATGCATTACTACACTAGAAAGAGAACCCAACACTTATCATGCAGGATCTTTCCCAGACCATGTAATCCTGGGGGATGTAGCCAGCTCAACAAAAGGGTCTGGTCAGACTCATCATTCAATAGGCTCAAATAGGGTCCCACTACCCTCAATCTGGTACCCAGTGCTGCTGAGGTAGGTACCAGATACCCGTGGATTCCTAAGCTACCCTTCCCTAACCACGGTCATACTGTATCTACCTATCCTAAAAAATAGGATCTATATCATTTTGATATGATTGTTTGGATCAAGTCCAAATTTTCTATCTTCATGGGAAGGATTTTGGGTGTCTGATCCCTCTGGGGGATCCCCACTGAGAATGGTCGCACTTTCTTAAGTCCCAGTCTCCATGGTTTCCTCTTCTGCTCCCATCTTCTAACTCTATCTCCACTGCCCCCTGCCATATGATTTTCCAAATCAGATCCAAGGAAGTTTCAGGGCTGAATCTACATGAGTCATCACAATGGTCCCATACCCTGAGGTCTGGTCATATCACATACTTACAGGGTCTTTGCGAGCCACGTTGTAACGGTCTAAGTCCTCCAATATGCTTTTATTCAACATGAGGGTGCTGACAAGATTTTCCACACCAGGAGTATCCAAGAAAGTGGCAAATCTTATATGAATGGACCTGGGTAAGGAGAGGAATATATTTTTAAGTTAAAGTACTAAATATGTATTCCCCCACAAATGGAGACAGAATTGTAACATACCACACTTATATAAAATAATATCCAGTAAAGTATGTTTATATAACATTGGGGTTGGAGTAATTGTAAAAGTAACTAATTTCATTATAGAAAACCTGAAACACAAAAATGTGTGAAGAATAAGGTAAATATCACTAATAATGCCATTAACCAAAGACAACACAGAGATACTTTAAATATTTAGTTTACAATAGCACTATGATTTATTTCATAAACAGAGTCAAAATCCTTGCAATTTTTAAATTATGTTAGGAAGAAGTCACATTGCACCAGGGCTGGCTTCATGGGTGTGGGACCCACATAATGCTGTGTGCTTTGTAGAGCCTCACACTCACAGTTTATTGCTCTGAGGCCACCGTTCAAAAATTCTTAATAATTTTATCTTTCACTTCATGTTTTTAAGTGAAGTTAAGTGACACAATGGAGCATGTTAGGGGCCTTGGAGCCTCGGCTCACGTGTGCACCCCACGGTCTCTCCATGATGCTTTTCTCCCACCTGTTCCCTGCCCCTGGCATCCTGGGCCCTAGAGAGCCTCCCCATTCCTGCCTCATGACAGCTGCCTCCTCCTTCTGCCAGGGGTGACACTGGTTGCATTGGTTGGGGGAATCCCGCGTTCAGCCAACACCCAGTGGGGTTCCTGGACAAGGGTATAGAGAGGCTCATGAGTCAGGTACATGACACATGGAGTCTCTGGTCAGACCAAGGGGGTGGCTGTCCCCACCCTGGGCAGGCAGTGCCATGGCATGTTCGGCTAGCAACTCAGTGTGGACCTCCTACCCATCCTCCACCCAGGGGTTCAGTGCATCCTGGTGCAGAGGGTGCAAGCCCTTAGTTGGATGCCTGTTTGCCATGGGTTGGAGCTCATGGGAAAGAGAGACTGATTGCCCCACACGAGGCCAGAGCCTCACATTTTCATTTTGCAGTGGGTCCTGTATATTATGTAGCTGGCCTTGCGGTGAATTCTCTGCAGTTACTAGGGTATTATTACTCAATGGGACAATTCCATTCCCCCTCGTGCTGATACAATAAAATATCCTAATCTATTTAACTATCAACTGTAGGGAACATCTGTGCTTAAATTTTAATACATGCTTCCATATTAGGAACAAAGTATCGTATTTGCGAAGAGCAATATCTATATCTATAATTAACTAATAAAAAGATGAACAACTCCATCTTAATAATGTTTATGAGCAATTTTAAGTGAAAGGTAAGAACTTTGTTATATGACCACCTTACACCAAAATCTAGTTCAGTGGATTAAAGATGGAAATGTAACAAACAAGACCACAAAAGTACTAGGAAAACACTCAAGCGAATTAAAAACATATATCCACACAAAACCTGTACATGAATGTTCATAGCAGCATTATTATAGCCCAAGAGAAAACAACCCAAATGCCCACCAACTGATGAATGGATAAACAGAGTATGATTTATACATACAACAGAAAACTATTCAGCCATAAAAGAAGGTACTGACGCATACTCCAACATGCATGAACTTTAAAACACTGTGCGAAGTGAGAGAAACCATATACAAAAAGGCACATGTTGTGTAATTCCATTTATATGAAATGTCCAGAACAGGCAAATTTACAGTAATAGAAAGTGGGTTAGTGACTGTTGGGGACTGAGGGAAGAAGAGAATGGGAGTGACAGCTTGATAGGTACAGGGCATTCTTTGGGTGATACAAATGTTTTAGAACCAGATAGAGGTGGTAACTGCACAATGCTGTAACTCTACTACAAACCACTGAATTGTACAGTTGAAGTGGGTAAATTGTACGGCATGTGAATTACATCTCAATAAAGCTGTTACAAAAATATATATAATGCCAAAATAATTGAAAGGAAAAGGGAATGGCAACTAATAGCAAAAAAAAAAAAAAAAAAAAAAAAAAAAGGCTGGCATAGCTATATAAATATCAGATAAACCAGATCTTAAGGCAAAAATCATGAGAAAAAGGTCTTTGTTTGATAATAAAAGTTCACTAGGAAGACATAACAATACCATATCTATAGGTGTCTAACAATAAAGCTCCAGGATACTGAAGTAAAAATGGACAGGGTTATGAGAAGAGTTTGAAATTTACCATCATATTGGTAGAGTTTAATATGGTAGAGCTCTCTCAGAAACTGGTGTCAGACAACACATTTACGATACTGTGGAAGATCTGGATAAACTTCAGCTAAAGTACACTACATCCCCCACTGTTTCCATTCCAAAGCCCTCCAGCCAGCTGTCTTTCCTGTCTTAGGTAATAACTCCTCCATCCTTCCAGTGGTTCAGGCCCAGACCTTTGGCTTCATCTGTTTTCTTGCACACCTCTCTTTCAGCCTCACCTTGGGCTGACTCTACTTTCAAAATGCATCTAAGAATGAAACGACTTCTCAAGACCTCCAATGCTAGTCCAGTCTCCACCACCTCTCTCCTCGGTTGTTGGAACAACATCCTAGTGTCTCTCCACATTTCTGCCATTGTCCCTGACAAGCCATCCTCCACCAATTTGCCAGAGCAATGCTTATCAAATGTTAAGTCAGATCACAAGACTCTTGTACTCAAATTCCCAGTAATAGAGGTGTTCTTACCCTCTTTTATGTGTACGGCCCCTCTCAGAATGTTTTTAAATGAATAAAGTAAGACACATAAGATTATAATATATGAGCTTCATTAAACAAACACGACTCAGCAGGGAGTCTAATAATTACCATAATTTTGCTACATTGACAAGCATAAGCTTGCACTCCCAGTAAAAGCCAAAGTTCTACAGTGGCTGAGAGTCCCCTCCCCGACTCCCCACAACCACAGCCTCCTTACCTGTGCCCTCCCTCTGGGACTGCTGCTTGCTCTGACTCATCTCCAAACAGTTGGCTTCTTGGTTTCCCTGCTCTGCGGCACAGGCCACCATGCTGTTCCTCAAACATGCTAGACATAGTTCCTCATCAGAAGTTCCTACTTGAGGAAGTTCCTACCTCATCAGAAGGTCCTACTTCATTAGAAGTTCTTACCTCATCAGAAGTTCCTACCTCAACAGAAGGTCCTACTTCATTAGAAGTTCTTACCTCATCAGAAGTCCTACCTCAACAGAAGGTCCTACCTCATCAGAATTCCCTACCTGAGAAAGTTCCTACCTCATCAGAAGTTCCTGCCTCATCAGAAGTTCTTACCTGAGGAAGTTCCTACCTCATCAGAATTCCCTACCTGAGAAAGTTCCTACCTCATCAGAAGTTCCTGCCTCATCAGAAGTTCTTACCTGAGGAAGTTCCTACCTCATCAGAAGTTACCTCATCAGAAGTTCCTACCTGTAATTCTCCTCCAGCAAATCTATGAGCCTGATCCATTACCTCAACATTTGAGTCTTTGCTGAAACTTCACCCTCTCAATGACCCTGAAACCCTATTTAAAATTTGGACCCTGACTTTCCAACCTCATTCCCTTTTCTATTTTTCTCCACAGCACTTCCTACTTTCTCTTTATTTTGTTTTTCACTGTTTGTCCCCTTCCACTAGAATAAAACTTGACAAGATGGGAGTGTCGGTCTATTTGCTTACTGCTGCCACCTCATGGCTAGAGCAATGGCTGGCACATGGTAGATGCTCAATAAATAGCTGTTAAGTGAACTAATCATGAAGCTTGCATGGAGACAGCCAGAGAGCTTCCCCATGCTTATTACATGTCTTTTTGCATGTGTGTTTTTTTTTTTACATATGATAAATACTACAACTGAGTTGTAAAGAGTGTTGTTGGATACTAGACTGGAAAGTGAGAGTAAGCGGACATCTTCCCCCAGTAAGGCCTGAGGCTCAGACCGTATCACAGTCCACTCCAAAAGGCCAGGGCTTTTTGTAGCCTACAGTGGTGCACAATAAATGTTCAGTGGGACATGGGGCTATCTTCCTGCAAAGGAGCACAAAACTGCAAACATTGTTTCACCAGTCTGTCCATGGAAATCTACCGGTGATTAGGGGTCACAACCATTTTGCATTCATCTCTGCTATTCATATTCACCAAAGAGGAATATTTCAGAGCTTTCCTTTGTTCCTAGAATTTCAGGGGGAGGAACAGGCAATGGCAGTATGTTTGTGCCCTCCTCTAAAATGACACTGTCCAGTACAAGAGCCCGTACACTTGAAATGTGGTACTCAGAACTGAGATGTGCTGTAAGAATAAAATATTAACTGAATTGTGGACTTGGTACAAAAAAGTAATATAAAGTATCTCATTTGTGCTTTTTAAATATTGATTATATGCTGAAACAATAATATTTTGGATATAATGGGTTACATAAGAAATAAATGTTACAATTAATTTCACCTACTTTTTGATTTTTAAATTAGTGTGGCTATTCAAAAATCTAAAATTACACATGTGGCTCAGAGTGTTTTGCTACTGATGGGGCTGCTCTCTATGTCTGTATTTGCCTCTGAGAACTACTTCCCAAAAGGTTTTTATTTAGCTCAAAAAGCAGAATGTAGGTTGGTGGGTGAGGTGGCTCACACCTGTAATCCCAGCACTTTGGGAGGCCAAGGCAGGAGGATCACTTGAGACCAGGAGTTCAAGACCAGCCCAGCCAACATGGTGAAACTCCATCTCTACTAAAAATACAAAATAGCTGTGCATGGTGGCTCACGCCTATAATCCCAGCTACTTGGTTGGCCAAGGCACCAGAATCACCTGAACCCAGAACCCAGGAGGCAGAGGTTGCAGTGAGTCGAAATCATGCCACTGCACTCCAGCCTGGGCAAAAGAGTGAGACTCTATCTAAAAAAAAAAAAAAAAAAAAAATCAGAATGTAGGTCTTATTCCACATGTGACCCTTTTTTGGCAGGCTCTGAGGCAAGGTGGCTGTATATACACTATTCCTCCTACAACGGGTGCTGAGAATAGCAGCCTGTTTGTTTTCGCTTTAACTAGAA